TGTTACAAAAATCCAGTGCCCAATTTTCCATATCCCTCATCCATATTTCCATACCTCATTTGGAATCTCATCTATCCCGATGCTTTTCCTTTCTTCAGCTGCTTTATCGCCTCTATCAATTCTGTCCTGCTTATCTCCTCTTCCTCCTCCTCTTCCTCTCTATCTCCTCTGTCCTTTTCTTTCTCTTCTTACTCTCCTCTCCTCCAATCCTCCTAGCAACTTCATGAAATAATCTCTCCACTCTATCATCTCAATTTCCTCGTTAATTCCTTCTCTCTCCCTCTCTCCTTGTTAAATATTTCCCATACTTCCGCTTCTTTTTTTGCCCCGCTGCTTTCCTTTCACCATTTCTCGTTTCTTCTTTTTTCTTCCTCTCACATAACCTCCTGTATTCTCCTTTTTCCTCTGTATTCTTCTCCCTGTCCTTCCTTCTCTTCTCCACCTCTCAGCTCCTTTCTTACTTTCCTTTTTCTTTCTCCACACTCCTCATCCCACCATCCCCTTCTCTCCTTCTTCATCTTCCTCTCTTCCTCTTCTGTTTACCTTCATTGCTTCCTTTACCCTCTCCTCCATTTTCTTCCACTCACCCTCTATCTCTTTTTCTCCTCCTTCTAGTTCTCCTACCTTCTCCTTGAACCTCCTGCACTTTTCTTCATTCCAAGTTCCTCCTCTTCTCCCTCCTCGATTCTTTCTTCTCTCTCTCTCTGTTTCCCTTTTATCTCCACCTCCACTGGCTGATGATCTGAATCTACTTATCTTTACTCTTAAACTTTTTTACCTTTTCTCTACTATCCTCGTCTCCCCAATACGTAATCTATTACTGTGTTCCCTCTCCCTCCTGTAAATGTCCATTCTCCCTCTTCGTCTCCTTCTGTGTTCCCATTCAATATGCTCCATCCTCTTTCTCCCAAGAATTCTAACAGTTTTATTCCCTCTGCGTTGATTACTCTGTCCTTTGACTTCCTTTTACTTTCCCCTAACCCTCCTCTTCTACATTTTCTTCTCCTATCACTCGTCCTCCTTCCTCTCCGGTTCTTGCATTAAATCCCCTCCTATTATCGTGTATACCTCATTCTCTTTCTCCTCTGTCCACTGCTCCATTTCTTTACATGCCTTTATCTTCCTTGCCCTGCATATATTTCTATCACCCTCCATCTTTCTCCCCCCACCTTTACTCTTCCTATCGCAAAGCCTTCCTTTTCCATTTCCATCTCCTCTCCTTTCTCTGCTATCTCCTTTCTCATCCCCATAATCATGCCCCCTATCGCTCTTCCCCTCTCATTCTTTCTGCTAGCTCCTTGTACTCCCCATATGTATCCTTTCGGCAACATTCTTCTGACCTTCTTCCAACTCTTCTCTTCCATCCATTGTTCATTTTCAACACTATCACCTCCCATTCCTCTAATCCTTTCAAAAAGTCCTTATCCTTGTTCCCTACTCCCGCCACATTCCAGAATCCTATCTTCCATCCTTCTTCATCTGTCCCCTTCTTCCTTTCCTCCTTCTCTATCTCTTCAGGTCTTCTTTCCTCCTCTCTCTTTCCCCGTTACTTCTTCCCTTATGTTTCCTCTCTCGTCCTTCAGTACCTCTTTTACCTCATCCCATCTCCACATTTTTCTCCTATTTTATCCTGCCGTTGTTTATCCATGTCCTCTCTCCTCTTCTCTCTTCTCTCCATGCTTCTCCCAAACTTCCTTCTTACCTCCCTTTCTTTCCATGTTAGGTCCATACCTATCTTTTCTTTTCTGCCTCTCAGTTTCTTCTTCTTCTCCATCACCTCCCATTTCTGCTCTTCCTTCTCTAATTCTATTACCACCATCTCTCTGTCTTTCTCTCTATCTTCTCCTATCCTTCTTATTTTCACTATTTTCGCTTTCGCCCCAATCTCCTCCATTAACTTCTCTGCTCCCTCCCTTCTTTTCCCCTCCTTGACCTCCAGATTTCTTATCACTATGTTTTCTTTTTTTCCTCCTTTTCTAGTAACTCCCATTTCCTTTCCATCTCCCCTACTCTTTTTGCATTTCGCCCCCCCTGTGAACTCTTCCTTTTTCTCTCTTCTCCCCCCCTTCATTTATTCTCCTCTCTAATCCTTCTATCCTCCTCTTCATACTTTCCATGTTCTCTCTCATTTCTTCCTTCTCTTCTTTCCATTTTTCAATCTGTTCCTTGTAATCTCTTCTTAACTCCTCCATCTCTTTCTTATCTTCTCTCCCTGCTCCTTCATTCTTCTCTCATCTCCCTCATCTCCTGCCACATCTCTTGCAGCATTTTTTAAATTTCCCTCTCTCTTCTCTTCCTCTCCACCCTCCTTCTCTGGAGAGCTCGTTATTTTGTTACTTCTTTTAAATATCTCCGCTCCCTCTTCTCCATTTTTTCCTTCTAACTCTCTTTTTTTCTCTTCAATAATTCTTCTATGTTTCCTAAGCTTCCACTTCTTTCCTTTCCCTTAATTCCTTCCTTCTTTCCGCTCATTCTGCTATCTACACTCTTATATTCTTTTCCTAACCACTTTCCTCTCTATATTCTCTTTTTCCCTTGTTTTCCTTCTATCTAATTATTTGCCCCTCTGTGTTTTCACTACTCCTTGTTTCTTACTTTCTTTATTCCCTAGAAATTCCCTAGCGCTTACTCTCCTTTCTCTCCTTACTCTGTTTCCTCTCTATACTTTCTTCACTCCCTGCCTACTGTCAGCTGTCATCCAGCCACCTATTCTCTCTTTCTTACCTCTTTCTTCTCTCTATTTTCTCCTCAACTATCCTCACACCCTTTCACTACTCCTCTGCTACCTTCCCACACTATCCTCTCCTTTCTCACCTGTACTCTATATTCTCTAACCCTCTTCAATTACTCACACTCACAATCCACGTGTACACGCGTTTGCACCGGAAACGGAAGTCCTTATCCACGCGACGATTAATATAAATAACTTCTTAGCGACGATAGAAGACCCTGATAGAAGATCCTGACGATCGCAAAATACAGGGACGTATCGTCAAACGGGCGTAACACGGACAAACACTTGCCCCCTCCTCTTCAAAATTGTCGTTCCGACAATTAATTCAGAGTAGGACAGATCCAGAATAATTCCATACAGGAACCTCGCCGAATTACAGTCCCCGATGTGACTCCATGTTCTCCCTGAACTGCTGTTCTAGGTACAACGAACTGCACACCATCTTGTGTCCAATCGACTTCACTGATTCCAGGAATTTTCCTCAAAGTCCCAAAAATTCTTCAGGCAAGAGAAGGGTAACATTCCGTGGACCCAACGTCCTTTTAAAGGACTTCTCAAACCTCTGCCTCGGCATTTGCCCAAAGCCCCCGGGAAAAACCACGGATCAAAATAACCACGGGGTGAGGCAGTCTTCGTCCCTTTTATTTCTTTTCGTCTTCATCAGGTCCTTTTCCATTTTGTTGCCGATTAAGATTTTCCTGAAAAACAAATCTTACGGCAGAAAAATTGAAGAATACACAATTTTACAATTAAAGTACAAATAATCTATCGTGGGTTCCGATTCTAATTCAAGTTTCGACTATAAAAGAAGCTAATCTGTTCGAATGCACAATCTTACATTTGTGCTTATTTGACCTTAAAATTCCAAAAACCACATCACTAAGTTTTTTGATTATTTTATAAGGCCCTTCCCAATTACTTTGTAATTTAGGAGATTTGCCTTTTACTCTTTGAGGATTATAAAACCATACTTTTTGACCAATATTAAAATTAATTTTCCTAGCTCTACGATCATATCATATTTTAGAACGAAGAGATTGAAGATTCAAACGCTGACTAGCACTTCTGTGAATATTGTCCAACTTTTCCCTCAATCTGTGCACATACTCTTCGGAAGAATTATTTTTTTCATCTACTGGAGGACTCCCTCGTAACAAATCCAAAGGTAGTCTTAATTCTCGTGCAAAATACAATTCAGCAGGGGAAGCACCTGTAGCTTCATGTTTCGAAGAACGATATGCTAACAAGTACATATGAATTCAGTCATCCCAATCCTTCTGATTTTCTGAAACAAATTTAGCCAAGTAATTAAGAATCGTTTGGTGATGACGTTCCACCTGCCCATTTGATTGAGGATGTAGAGCAGTAGTCCTCGTCTTCCTAATCCCTAAAAGACGTGTTACCTCCTGAAAAATTTTAGATTCAAAATTTTTACCTTGATCGGTATGCATTTCTAACGAAACTCCATGTCGAGAAACAAATTATTTCACGAAAACATCAGCTACCGTTTTTACTTTAAAATTTTTAAAGCAAATGCCTCTACCCACTTGGTAAAACAATCAATGATTACTAACAAATATCGATTTCCAGCTGTGGTAGTCGGGAGAGGGCCAAGTATATCCATTTGTATCCTCTCAAATGGGAATCCAGCATCAAATACTTGAAGAGGTGACTTCCCTTTTCCTGATGGACCTCTTCTTGCTACACAAACCTTACAGGAACGGCACCAATCCTCCACATCATTCTTACATGTAGCCCAATAAAAACGCTTTCGGATCTTTTCTAACGTCTTATTCACACCAAAATGGCCATCAGACGCAGAATCATGAGCCTCCTCTAAAACTTGATTGATGAAGTTCCTAGGAACAATAATCTGAAAAATTTTAGATTTGAGGTTAGGGGATTTCCATCTTTTATATAAAATTCCATCTCTAATAACCAAAGCATCCCAGTAGGATCAATAAACTTTCGCAGAAACATCTCTATTAATTTCTTGTAAATCAGGACGTTTATTAATCTTTTCCTTGAAGGAACATTGAAATAATAGGATCTTCTAATTGTTTATTGCGCCATTTTTCTGAACTATTTTCTCCAAGAATAATTCTAGCAACAGAATTTTCCTTCAATTCCACCTTGGCACAATAAACACAATCGAGTTCTGAACAAGGGCGTCTTGATAAACCATCAGCATTCTGATGCAGTCGTCCTTTTCGATGAACTACTTCAAACTCGTATTGTTGTAATCTCTCTAGCCATCGAGCTAATTGCCCTTCTAAATCTTTGAATGACAAAAGCCATCTCAAAGAAATATGATCCGTTCGAATTTGGAATTTCCTTTCATATAAATAATGATGAAAAGACTTCATTGATGCCACAATTGCTAACAATTCCCTTCGCGTAATGCAATAATTCCTTTCTGCTTTATTCAGGACTCGACTGAAATAAGCGATGACTTTTTCTGAACCATTCTGAACTTGCGATAATACTGCTCCTATCCCATGATTCAAAGCATCCGTATCCAAAATGAATTGTCCGTGTTCCTTCGGAAAAGATAAAATTGGCGAAGAAACTAATCTCTCTTTCAATTCGCTGAATGCTTCTTCACAAGACGAATTCCATTCAAATTTCACCTGATTTTCTGTAAGAACAAATAACGGTTTAGCTATTAAAGAAAAGCCTTTAATAAATTTCCTATAATAGGAACAAAATCCTAGAAAGCTTCGAAGTTGTTTCCTATTTTGAGGAACAGGCCAATTTCTGACGGCAGAAATCTTCTCAGGATCCGTTGTAATTCCATGTGTAGAGATAACATGACCAAGATATTTAACTTCTTTTCCGAAAAGCGAACACTTCTTAGGATTCAATTTCAAATTTGCTGAGCGAAAGCGAAGAAAGACTTTCCTCAAATTTTCCATCATCCCCTTGAATGTTTCACCGAAAACAATCACATCGTCAAGATAAACTAAACAGATCTTCGATAAAACATCTTGAAGAATTTCTCCATCAACCGTTCAAAAGTAGCGGGGGCATTGCAAAGTCCAAATGGCATGACAGTAAATTGCCACAATCCATTTCCCACAGAGAAAGCCGTCTTCTCCTTATCTTTGGAGTCCAGCTTTACTTGCCAATACCCACTCTTCAGATCCAGAGTAGAGAACCAAGAATTTCCTGACAGTTGGTCCGGAATATCTTCAATTCGAGGCAATGGATAGGAATCTTTCACCGTGACAGAATTTAACTTCCTATAGTCGATGCAAAATTTTAATGAGCCATCTTTTTTTTACCATTACGACAGGAGAGATCCATGGACTTTTAGATTCTTCTATAACTCCCTGAGACTTCATTTCTTTAATGATTTTATTGACTTCCTCTCTTAAATGAATCGGTACTTTACGTGGAGCTTGTTTAATCGGCCTAGAATCCGTAACCTTAATATCATGTAAATTTAACATATATAAGACAGGCAATAAGAGCCAAATCGCGGATGACGGTGCGTTATCCTAAACAAAACTAAATTTTTTCGTTAGAATTAAATACCTGTGCACAAGGCACCAAATTTTACTTGGACACGGCCAAGATATAAAATTGGAATAATCTCTACAAGAGATTTTTAATTCCATGTATCCCCTATTCCCCCTAAAGAAATAAATGCGAGAGAAAAATATAGATCCGAAAGTCGCAGAATCGGGAAACGAACCCGAGATCTTTCGCTTGCCGGGCGACTGCTCTTCCCGATTCTGCGACTTTCGGATCTATATTTTTCTCTCGCATTTATTTCTTTAGGGGGAATAGGGGATACATGGAATTAAAAATCTCTTGTAGAGATTATTCCAATTTTATATCTTGGCCGTGTCCAAGTAAAATTTGGTGCCTTGTGCACAGGTATTTAATTCTAACGAAAAATTTAGTTTCGTTTAGGATAACGCACCGTCATCCGCGATTTGGCTCTTATTGCCTGTCTTATATATGTTAAATTTATATTTATATTACAGAGCCTAGTTAAACTCTTAACTTAATATCATGTTTTAAAATTCCACAGTTCCCTGCAATCAAATCCTGAGAAAATATATCCTGAAATTCTAATAAAATATCTTTTTGAGAGGAATTCAAATTTTTGAATTTTCCTCGAAAAATGTCTCGAGAAAATCAGGGACTCTCCCTTTAATAATTCGTGAACAAGAAAATTCATCTTTATTATTCTTTTTAATACTACCAAATTGGGATTCAAAAATTTTTTCTAGATTTATTTTTTCAAGAAAATCTATCCCAAGAATGCAATCATCAGAAATGTTAGCAACAATTATAGGAATCTCTACTTCATGCTTTCCTAATTTATATATAATCAAAACGTTGACTTTATATTTAACTTCAATTAATTCCCCTGTAGGATATTTGAGATAACAATTGTTTATTTCCAAATATTCTTTTGGTCCTTTCAGAAATCTCTCACTAAGAATAGAAACATCGGAACCCGTATCTATTTTAAATCGACAAATTCTTCTGTCCAAATTTCCCTTATAATAAAAATTATTTCTAGTTTTACTTATTTTAGCACATTGTAAAACATTTCGGGCTATCACGCAATTAGTCTAACCTGCCCCGCGAAGTTCGACTAAACCTTGTTTTCCGTGAATGACGGACATTCAGAGCGGAAGTGCCCCTCAGCGCCGCAGTGCCAACATTCCTTCTTAGCCTTCGGACCGTTTTTTTGAAAATATTTATTATTACTATAAAACTTCTTTTTCTCGTTATCTTTCTTTTTTGTTGCTTTATTTTTTTCTTATTCTCAAATTTATTAAATTTACCAAATTTATTAAATTTATTATATTTATTATATTTTTCAAAATTTTGGTTTGGAAAATTTTTATTTTTTTGAAAACTATTCTCTTGAATAACTTTTACTGCCATTGCTCTCTGTATGGCAGATTTTAATGAAGTAATACTTTCTAATTGAAGAGTTCTTTTTAAGAAGCCATCAGATATTGCCGTAATGAATTGTGCGCAAGCAATTTTGTCTCTAACTTCGTGAGAACACTCAGGGTAAGCTAATCGCGACAATCTTTCTAAATCTGCGCCAAGAGAAGCTAAATCTTCCGAACTCTTTTGTCTACGATTTGTGAATTGTGTATAATAAGACTGAGCCGAATGCTCTTCACCGAAATGAAATTCAAATTTCGATTTTAAATCCGTGAATTCTAAATTTTCAATTTCCGAAATTCCATCTAAAACGGTCCGCGCTTTCCCTCTTAAACAAGCCGCAAAAGCCAAGGTCTTTTGAAATGAATTCCAACCATTAGCCCGCGCTATGAGATCGAACTGGGCAATAAATTCGCGCAAGGATACACTTCCGTCGAAATTCTCAGGTTTGAGCTTATACCCGAGCTCAAAATTATTGTGTATAACATTGTTCAATTTACTATTTCTACGTGTAGTGTTGTTCGGAATTCTGTTATGTAAAGGACTTAGCTGGTTATTTTCCCATGTGACGAGTCTTTCCTGTAAACGGCGCAGTTCCTCGTCCCGCTGTTGCAGCATTGTCACAAATTGAGCTTGCTGTTGTGAACGTTCCTCTCGCAACTCCCTAATCTGCTCCAACGCCTCCTGTAAAGCGTCCGTCCAATCGGAAGTTTCCTCACTATTTGTAGTTCGAAGCGGAGTCGACTGTTGTTCTCCGTCGATCATTGCTCGTGACAAAGCTTGCGAACGAGTAATCTTCGGAGAATGCACCAAAGACATCGTATCCTTTTTGTCACACACACAAAATATTTGTCCTTTTCACTACGGTTCGTGGCTCGTCGTCCGACCGATCCCGGACGAGCCCCCAAAATGTTACGTCCGCGCGCACTTTTCGAGTTATCTCACAGAAATGTCGCGCGCATTCAAACTCTCACACGCCGGAAATGAATACACTCGCGTAGCAAAGCAATAAACTTTAATAATACAAGCCAATATACCGTAGCGATACAATATAATATAACGTGCATTAATCCTAATGCAATATGTCGACCGATCAGCTATCGGAGGATATGTCCTCACCGCACGACAGACAGACCAGAACAACCACGCGACGATTAATATAAACAACTTTTTAGCGACGATAGAAGACTCTGATAGAAGATCCTGACGATCGCAAAATACAGGGACGTATCGTCAAACGGGCGTAACACGGACATAACAATATATATATATATATTGTATATATAGTTGTATGTATGTATGTATGTATGTATATAGGTGTAATTTTAATATAACATTCAAATAGACGTTTAAAATGCAATTTTTATTTTTATTTTTAATTTTTATTTTAATTTTTTTTTATTAAAATGCAATTATCAAATTTTTTTCTCTGAAAGATAATGCAATTCTTTGTTTATTTTTTTATGTATAATTGAAAATTATTATAATTTTTATAGTAGTTAGTGCCAGAGGCGGCCTATTCGTGTGCTGGTTTAAAAAATAATTCCAAAGACGATCTATTCGTGTGCTGGTTTTAAAAAATAATTCCAGAGGTGATCTATTCGTGTGATGGTTGTTTTAAAAAATAATTCCAGAAACGATCTATTCGTGTGCTGGTTTTAAAAAATAATTCCAGAGGCGATCTATTTGTGTGCTGGTTTTAAAAAATAATTCCAGAAGCGATCTATTCATGAGCTGGTTGTTTCACAAAATATTTATACCAAATGCGGTTAGCATGTGATCTTTGGTTTAGTAAAAAATATGACATTTATGTTGTCAAACAATTTTTAATAATAATTATTATTTCTATTATAAATCAACGATTTGAGATTTTACAAACAAAGGATTGCACTTATTTTTCAGAGATATTTTTAAATATTAAAAAAGTTATTTTTAAATATATAGTAAAATATATTGTTAGGAAGTGTGTGTGTTACATGTGGCATTTTATTTCATGGCATAAAATTTTGTAATATAACAATCTATTTTTCTTTGCAACGGACAGGCATTGAAGGCCCAAGAAGCTTACTCCAAGATTACCAAGGGTACTGACGACGAATGCATGTACGACTTTGGACAAGCAATGGAATCACCCAACATGGTTTCAAAAATCAGTACCCAGGTAATGCAATGCTTGGAGTCAAATAAAGGTATGTATAACCAAAATGACAATTGCAATAATAATTCTTTTATTATTGATAAGAAAGCACTTCTAGATAGTTCCTGTATACAGGTGAATTTGTCTAAAGGCCGTCGCATTGTTGACAATTGCGATGATAACAATTTTCTTGTTATTGATAACGAAGCCCTTCCAGACAATTCTTGTATACAAGAAAACTTGCCTGAAGGCCGTCGCATTGTCGATGACAATTGCGATGATAACAATTCTCTTGTTATTGATAACAAAGCCCTTCCAGACAATTCTTGTATACAAGAAAACTTGCCTGAAGGCCGTCGCATTGTCGATGACAATTGCGATGATAACAATTCTCTTGTTATTGTCAACGAAGCCCTTCCAGACAATTCTTGTATACAAGAAGATTTGCCTAAAGGCAATCGCATTGTCAATATTTCTTATATGTTGAATGAACTTCAGAGATAATCAATAATTATATGAAAAAAATAGAGTGCCAATTAAAAGATTGGAAGGTGATAACGACTCAAAGCAAAGGCCAAAAGGAAAATGACTCTAAGAATAACACATATAAAGATACTAGCAATGAATCCATCGATTTTCAAAAATCGGTGGAATTGTTCTCCGATACGATGGATTCAAAAGTTAGTATTTAAAAAGTGCAATGCGTGGAGTCAATTTCAGAAATAGATGTGTGTAATAAAAATGTCGAACTTTGCGAAAATAATTATTTTGTTATCAAGAATAGCCCTCTGGATATAAATCGTATCCAGGAAAACACGCCTCAAGGGCGTCGCATTGTCAATTTTTCTCATATGTGAAATGAGATCATTCAATAATCATACAAAAGAAATAAAGTGTCAATTTAAAGATTGAAAAGTCATAAAAACTAAAACCGAAGGCCAAGAGAAAAATGGTTCTAGGAATAGCACATATAAGAATACTAGCAATGAATCCATCGATTTTTAAAAATCGGTGGAATCGGATTTCGATACAGAAGATTCTAAAGTTAGTACTTAAAAAATGCAATGCCTGGAGTCAATTTCTGAAATAGATATTTGTAATGAAGATGTCGAACTTTGCGAAGATAATTATTTTGTTATCGAGAATGGCCCTCTGGATATAAATCGTATCCAGGAAAGCTTGCTTGAAGGCCGTCGCATTGTCGACTTTTCTCATGTATGGAAAGAACTCTAGAGATTATTCAATAATCATATAAAAGGAATAGAGTGCCAATTTAAAGATTGGAAACTCATAAAAACTAAAACCGAAAAGTTTAAGACGCATTTTACTTTCAAATCCAAATGTGCAATACTGAAGCCGAATTCTGGTCAGAACCCAAAGATCCGAAAATATTAAACATTGATATGGCTGCTGCAGTAGGAACTATTACAGTGAAAATTGACTATGCCCAATTGGAAGAGCTGTGTGCTATGAATATTCAATATAGGTCCGATAAAAGTTATATTCAAAATCGAGATGTTAGTAGACGAGTTTGAGAAAACAGCCATGAAAAATATGAAAATAGTTGGCCAAACTGAACAGCAACTGGCTCTCGAAAGGAACGATGTTATAAACATAACTGTAATAGCTGATGGTAGTTGGAGTAAAAGATCGTACGGCCACGCCTACGATTCTCTTTCCGGCGTTGGTACTTTAATTGGTTACCACACGAAAAAAGTTTTTTTTGTCGGTATCCGCAATAATTCGCAATATCCGCAAAATATTGCACGATATGCGATGTAGCGGAACGAAACGGAATCGAACCAAAAAACCATAAATGCTATAGAAATTTCGATCGTAACGCAAGCTCCACAAGTATGGAGAGCGACGCCATTGCAGAAGGCTTTAAAAGTAGCCTGGAAATGCATGGATTAATTTTTAGTACAGTTATTGCCGATGGCGATAGCAGTGTCTATCAGGCCATCATTGATAGCAGACCATATCGGGAACAAATGGTGACCGTGAAAAAAATAGAATGCACCAATCATTTGCTTCGCAATCTATGCAAAAAGCTGCAGGCGGTAGCAGGGACAACTCAGCCAAAAATGCATAGAAAGCGCGGTTTTGTCTAGCTACGAAATGTTGTAAAGAACAATATTATGAACATACGAACAGAAGTGATAGAAGCAATTGATTTACGAAATAAACAAGAGCAACCTCACCATGATAAAGCTAGAGAATTACAAAAAGATATATTAAACATTCCTAGTCATATATTTGGTGAACATAAACGATGTAAGGAACGCGGTCGTATATGTGACCTTGATGAAACAAAGAAAAATTATGTACCGTTTCTCAAGTTACACGATCTTTACCAAAAAGTAGAGAAGGCTATCATATATTTAAGCGCTTATTCCGACGGTTTCTTGTACAAATACACCAACAATCCTGTAGAGTCGTTCAATTCGATAATCTGCAAAGAAATTGCTGGTAAGCGCATTAATTTTAGTAATCGAGGCTCTTACAATGCTAGAGTTGCGGGGGCAGTTTTGCAATATAATTCGAAACAAGGTCTTACGGAAATGCATAAAAGCATGGATAAAAATGTTCCTCCTACTGTCGAGATTCTGGAATAGCGACGAAAAATTAAAGTTGCAAGAACTAGACAATCTCGGAAAATGAATAAACGGCAAAAATGTAAAAGAAAGTCAGGAACAGATTGTCATTACGGTCCGCAATCACAAAAACCTGATCTTCTACCCGAGGTTTTTGAACAACTTCGACAAAATCATTTGGAAAAGTTGTTTAAAAATGGGAAAAATTGGAGACAAATTGAACGTAATACAATAAAGCAAAGTAATTCAGATTTGTGGCATTCACTGAGACAGGAACTGTTGACGGCGTCTAATTTTGGAATTGTATGTCGCATGAGACCGACAACGTCTTGCGCCGCAACCGTAAAAAACATTTTATTTCTTTCTTCTATTGATACTGCGGCTATGAAATATGGTCGCGAAATGGAAAAAATTGCGAGAAAAAGAATTGGCCGTAACATTAAAGGAGATAAAAATTTGCGGATTATTTATTGATATTAAAAATCCGTGTTTGGGTGCTTCTCCAGACGGACTCGTAGATGAAAATGGTCTGGTAGAAATAAAATGTCCTTTATCAGCTGAGCATTTAACATCAGAAGAGGCCATAAAAATATTGCCCCATTTGAAAGGCATCTTTGATAAGAAAAATACAGATAAGATGAATCAAAATCGCCGATTTTTCTATCAAATTCAAGGCCAGTTAAATATAACGCAGCGAGGTTATTGTATTTTCGCTGTGTGGACGCCAAAAAGCTTGAAAATAGTACGTGTTAATAGGGACACTGTATTTTGGAGTAATCAAATGCTGCCCTTTTTAACACGTTTCTATTACGATTGCATGCTTCCGGAAATCTTGGACAGTCGGCATAATCGACATATGCTAATTAGAAATCCAAGCTATATAGTAGAAGCTCAACAAAAAGTAGCTAAAAAAAGAAAACGAACGAGTCTTCTACAGTGTAATGTAGAAGATAAAAATATTGCCAAAAAAAGTAATGTATCGAATCAAATATTTCATCAATGGAAGTAACTATAACTGCTTTGAATGCAAAACAAGATGATGGCATTGTAGTTAGTTACTCAAAAAATACAGAACTAACAGAATGCGATGTGGCAAAGCAAAAAGAATTTTTAGATAATTGGGTTGCTCCTTTTGATTCAATAAAGGAAAATGTCTTACCTTTAAATAGTCAAATAAATGACGAATCATTGGACCAATTTTTGCGCGTCATAAGAGAGAATTCTTGTTTTGAGACACAAAGTGTGCAATATTTGGAATATCCTCATATAATTGAAGCAAGTTGTAACGACAAAAGCTTACAAATTATTGGAGGAAATTGCAGTAATCACTGGCGATGTATTTCTTTTGACGGCACCAAGCTACGACAGTCTATCTGGCTGTACATACGAAACATTGAAGGCTAAAGAAAAAAATTACATTCATCGCCGTTATCCACAAATAAATAAAAATAATATAATATTTGAAAACGTTTAAACTCAACCTGATGGTATATGTTGTGGAATCTTTGCTGCCGCATTTGCTACAACTATAGCTTTAGGAGAAAATCCTTGTAATGAGACATATTCTACTGATGTTAAACGTATGAGACAACATTTCTTAAAAATTATAGCAGAAAATAAACTGTCGCCTTTTCCTAACTAATAAAAATTTATCATTATACTAGAAATGTGTAATTGTAATAAATATTGTTGCAAAAAAGTGTCTAATACTAATGTCTCATTTGCAAAAATCGGAGAGACGAAAAAAATACATATATTATGGTTGCGTTCTCACGGGAATGGGTGATGGAGGGGCCCATTTCATTCTATATATGCATAAAAATGTTTTGTATATTATATAATATTCTGTTATATTATATAAAAATATACCGCTGGTTGTTTAAAAATATTTGCTATTTTTTCAATTATTGATAAGAGGAGAAAAGCGAATTGTGCGTACTGCATACATTGTAATTTATAGAAAATTACAGGTAATATCAATATACGTACCATACACGTATGCTTATACCATACACGTATGTGTATACATGTATGTGTATATGTATTTGTATATATGTATGCATCTATGCATGCATTTATATATGTAAGAAATATATACATATATATACATGTATATAGATGCATATATCCATGCATAAACATATATATAATATGTACATGGTGATTCAAAAGTCTGGCAATGGCCAATTATATCAGAAAATAGTGGTCTTATAAAAAAAAAACTAAAGTTGTTGACTTTTACCTAGGTGTCAAATTTTGAGATCATTTGTAGGTCAACTTAATTTTTTAAATTGAAATCCTTTATTTTTTATTAGATGATCTTGTAGCTTATCTCGACAGCTTTCCAAAGCATTATAATAAAACATTTTTTCATGAAGTACTTTTTGAATTATAAAGATTCAAAGCAATTGTTTGACATATGTTACGTCCAATAATTCACCCGGCGGCAAATTACCTTCTACACAAGACGGTCTTCTCTCGCGTCTACCTCGGTGGACGTTTAAGAAGCTGCTCTCTATTTTTTATGGGCAACCTGCTAGGCCGGTTATACCCAGGGATGCCGAGAGCTTGAGATTCGGTTGAGAGTATCGGACAGAGAAGGAAACTGACGGGTCGGGTCGATAAATAAAGATATTTTACAAGTATAATGTCATTTATTCATTTATAAAACCTTTACGTCGATATAAAATTTATTGGTCCTGACGTGATTCATGGGGGGCTTGAAATTGAGTTACAATATTACTGGGGGTCTATTCTTGAAACGAGGACCCTAGATATCGCATGCGATATCGCATTCGATAGCAAAAATGGTATTCTCGAATGAATGAGATGTATCGTATGCGAGAAAATATCGAACAGTTCATCTCGAGTGGGTAAACCCCATGCGATATGTAAGTCGCATACGATAAATATAGTAATAAAATCGCTGTTTTCAAAAAAAGTGAAGTTATCCAATGTAAGAGAGGTTAATTAAATTTATAATTGCAATGGATTTGGCATATCAAAATGCTGTTCAACTTCATATTGCTGAACAATTAGAAAATATTTTTGATTATAATGAAAGACAGCGTTTTCACATAAGGGATGATCCATTTCACTTATCAGAGCGACAGTTTATAAATATTTTTCGATTGAAAAAAGAAACAGCAAACAGGCTTATTAATATTGTGGAAGACAATTTTATAGAACCATCACGATCTTCAGCTTTGGACGCCACTGTACAAGTACGTACAACAAATGCAGAATAAATTATTTGTAAATTATTTAATATAACTTATTTGTAAATTTTTTCTAGGTTTTAGCTGCATTACGCTTTTATGCATCAGGCAGTTATCAGAATTGCATAGGAAAAAATATTCACATGGCTATTAGTCAACCTTCGATCAGCAGATGTGTTCGAAATGTGACTAATATTCTTAATCGTCCAGAAATATTTAACACTTGGGTATGCTTTCCTAACAACCTTCAAAAGCTGCAGCAACTACGTAACAAGTGAGAATATATTGAGAAAAATTAAATAAGATATAGTACGCAATTACGTTTATATATATATATATATATATATGTATAATATAATCATACATATTTATTTATGTATATTATTTATGTTATATGTATATATAGATTTTGGATTAAGCATCGCTTTCCTGGAGTGATTGGTTGTATAGACTGCACTCATGTAGCAATTGTTCCACCTCCTAAAGAAGATGAGAATTATCCTGAACATATATATGTAAATAGAAAAGGATATCATTCAATTAATGTACAATTGGTAAGATTGCGCCTTAACACACACAATTCATTTAAGTATATTATTAAACAAATAATATAAGTACAGCTTTATTTGCAGATATGTGATTCTGATCTTAGGATTATGAATGTTAATGCCCGATATCCAGGAAGCACGCACGATTCGTATATCTGGAATAATAGTAATGTTCTTCCTATAATGCAAGATATTTACAATCGTGGACACAACTTTTTTTTACTAGGTAATATGTAATAAAAATGATTATTAAATATTACGTACTTTATGATTCGCGCATGATGCGCATGAATAAGTGACAGACAATTTATAGTTTATGTTACGCATATTACACATTTTCTGTCACTTCATGTGCATCATGTGTGAATCGAAAAATACCTATTGTTTTTAATTACAATGTATAACATTATATTGCTTTACAGGTGATTCCGGTTATGCGCTTAGACCTTGGATGATGACTCCAATAATGGACAATAATCTTAATATTGCAACAAGAAGATACAATGATCGGCAAAAGAGCACTAGATCGCTTATTGAACGTTGCAACGGTGTTTTAAAGATGAGATTTCGTTGCTTGTTGAAACATAGAGTCTTGCATTACCGACCAGATGTGTGCTCAAAAATTATCAATGCTTGTACCATATTACATAATATGTGCATTCATGATAAAGTGCCTTTACCTGATGAAGCATTTGAAGATGAAGTATTGGATTTTGGTATGCTAAATGTTATGGATGGTGTAAACGAACCCGGAATAAATTTAAATAGAAATATTGAACTAATAGCTGGAAGAAGAATTCGCAATAATCTAATACGACATTACTTCTCTTGACAATATTTTATACTTTTTGTACACATGCATGTACACATATTTGTATTTCTAATTGTAATAATGTGGCAGTAAATAACAATATTTGGATTATAAACATTTGTTTTATTTCTTTGGACAATGTTCTTTATAATAGCAATACACAAAATGAACATAAACTGAATCTCTTATCTTTCAGTTTTTTAACATAAAATAAATATTAATTTTTTTAACATACGTAAAAATTGTTATACGTTAATAGCTTATAGGAACTATAAAAAGAAATACACAAAATGAACAAACTGAATCTCTTATCTTTCAGTTTTTTAACATAAAATAAATTACTAAATTAATTAATAAATTAATTACTTTTTTTACCAATTGCTCCAGCAATGCGCATATTTTTTTTTGGTAATGATGTCTTTTTCTTTCAGAGCTAACTCCTTTGTATAAAGTTTTAATTTTTCTGCGTAGTATGATTTTCGTAGATCGCTATCTTCCTGCGAAATTTTTGCCAACTTTTCAGTTTGTTCTATTGATTTGTCATATCTTTGTGCAGCAGAAGTTCTTTTAACACCTTTTTGTATGGCAGTCGATTTTAAAATTGGGGTTACAGAAATATGTGATGCGTTGTTAACTACATTGATTGGTGTTTCTAATGCAGTTGTTCTTTTTGTTAAAGATTTTCTATTATTATTGTAATTGTCATTATCATTGTTAAAGTTCTTTTCTGGTGAGTTTTCTTCCAATCTGCTGCAATGATAATTTTGAGAAGACGATGACTGTTGTGACACACATTGCTGCGTTATATCTTGACTGTTGTATTGCATGGGAAAATTTTCCTCATCTCCACTATCGTCGATTTCAACTGAATCACCTATCCACTCCTAAAAAAATATTAATGTACACGCATACTTTCTGTTTTAATGTTATAATTTCCTAATACGTTTTGGATATTATATTATGATACAACAAAGATTGCTTACCATTAGCACATTGGATTCTTGCACTGTCTTATGTCCTTCCACGACTGTTGTACCCATAAGTGCCAGAACATTTTGATCTGTTTCAGATAAGACTTGACTTGATGCAGGCCCTCCACCAGTTGCTTTTGCATGATTCTTGATCAAAGCATTTTTGGCTTTAGTGGAACTTCGCATGTCTTGCCAAGTCTATGATACAGGCAGAAAGTAGACCATCAGATTATTTGAAGTATATAATTTTCTTTCTGTAAAAAGAAGTTTTGCTATCTGTCAATATAATACATACCTTTCGCCATTGTTTCCATTTTTTTTGTGCACCAGGTATTTCATGTAGTTCTGCTGTTACTTTTTCCCACAATTTTTGAGCATGTTTATAAGTAAACGTTGTAGAAAACTTTCCACTCTGTAGCTCTGGATGTTTACGCATAAATTCTGCAATTAAAATATATATTATAGAGCACTGTATTGAAAGATTAATAAATAATAGTTACTATCAATCTATTAAGCGGCTTTTACCCATTACATATCTTTAAATACAAATTACAAATTTTCAATGTGAACAAAATCAATATGAGAGAGTTTAAAGCAAATTTTATTAGACTGTAACAAATTGAAGGCAATACTTACCAATCAGCAAACTTTTCTGTTCTTCATTAACATATGTACATCGTTTCTTCACTTTATTTGATGCTAATGCCATTTTAATTCGATTTTCACTATTATTATATATTTGTTAACTGTAACAAAATTTGCACTTTACCAATTTTAATTAAGATCACAGAATTTTTGTTAACACAGTTCAACTGCGTTGTACAAATTTAGGTTAGACTGACAATGAATTTCAAAATTCACTACAATATATGCGACATAAACTATAGATTTCCAGTACGTAGAATTTCAGAACACACAACCTTTCTCGCATGCGACATTTATCGCAGACCTCATATCGCATGATAGTTGAGAATACAATTCTGAAGTCGCATGCGATACGGACCGTGCGATATTTTTCGCATGCGACAATTATCGCATGCATTCAAGAATAGGGCCGTTGAGCTCCAGTTCTGGATTGTTAGGCTGGTTGAGGTAAGTTATGAAAAAAGTGAAGTTATCTTGCGCTTCTTCAGGGATGACGTTATCGACGTCGTAAGTGAGGTTCGCGGTGTCCTCGTTGAGAATATGAAAGGTTTGTTCGTCGTTAAATTGTAAAAAGGGATCGTATTCTGGCGATGTAATTGGTTGGTTTTGATCCAGGATATAATATTCAGGATCGGGTAAGAAATGATGATTAGGGTCCGTTATTAACGTATTTGACTTTAAAGGTAAAGGCTCCGGAAATTGCGGATGAGAATAATCAATGTAGGGCGGAAAGTTACTTATAGGCGAATAAACGTCTGGAGAAGGGGACCGAACGATTACTCGCGTGGGAAAGATTTGGACATGTAAGTTTAAGATTCTTCTTGTCCTACGTTCGCGTAGTCTATGGAGACGTTGCTTGTCACGATCAATTTGATTCTTCCTTCGGAAGAGGGAGACCATCTAACGGTTAAATAAATTTATATGAATAATACGTTTTATAGAACTGAGAGAATCAAATAATCAAAAGTAATCGAGTATGCCTCACGTTTAAGTCGTGATCTACTTGTTAATGAAGTAGAGATAAGATGAAAGGTTAATCTTTACAAGAGTGCCCTTCACCTGTTAATTAGTTAAGCTTGTATCAATTATAATTATAATTAAACGATACTGAAAGAAAATTGGTAATAATGTGGAATAGGAAAGGGATTCTGGGTACGTGTATTAATATCTATATCAAGAATATTAATACTTGTACTTTCAAGCATCAAAGATTAAAGTCTTAAACATCGAAGTAATAACTCTTAGTAATTATCAAGACCTCTGTCATTCGGTTTGGTAAAGTAATTCGTTTGGATTATAGAGCAGAGAGAAAGTAAGCAGGGGTGGATAAAGAAATACACGGTTATCCCGTGTGAATTCTGGTCCTTAAAGGCTAATGCATACGTTCACTTTACTTAACGTGCTTCTCAGAATCGTAGCAACGAATTTACCTTATGACAGGGTATATTTCTATTGGTTGTAAATAGGGTTAGGTGGTGTACACTTGTCAAATGAATCGAATATCAATATGCAAGATCACTGTCAGTTGGTGTGGTAAAGTATTCGCAACTATTGGAAAATGCAAGGTAATAAAAGCGTAAAAGAATAGAGAGATAGGTGTTCATCCGGCTATTCCGGGTTCTCTGGTCCTTGTCTTAATAGGCTAGTGCGACGTTCACTTTACTAAACGTGCACCTCAGAGATGACTTGCGAATGTACCTTCTGACAGGATATAGTTTCTAATGTGTACAGAGGAATTAGCGGCATTCAATTCGCTAATATGTGGTAGGATACAGGGTTACATACATATATAAATAAGCAGTGATACAATAAAATGCATAAGTATATTTATTATAATAGATTGAGTAAGTATGCGATATTGGTTAAATAGTATCAAATAGTATTGAGTAAAATATTGAATAAATCGACGATTGTAACGCAGACGTGTGCAGATGCAATTCGTGGATCGAAATAATATCGGGAATGCAGAGTAATATATGGCTTATGTCTATATTCAAAAATTCAGAGTTCGGAATGTAATGTAAGATTGAGTTAATATTGAATAATTAAATATAATGAGTGTCCGTTGCGCTTTACTATTTAGGGATATGTGAACTGGCTTAAATACTCACAAGGTTAGACAATGTCTAATGTGCCTTGCTATGGTACACTTCGCTACTGTGTTCTTCCCTCTGAGTCTGAAGATCTGAGGAGCCTCGGTACCTTGGTCCGAAATGGCGGCTGTGTCTCGTTGTCTTCGGGACCCCGTAGTAATTGCTGGTTGACTGCTGGATTATTGTTGACTGACTGGAACCACTGCGACGAAATCACTGCTGGTCCGTACTGGGTGCAGGGTTTATATACCGTAAAATGTGGCTCGCTCTTCCCATCGGGCGATGCGGCTTAGCCAATGGCAAGAGAGATATGCCGGGGAAGTACCGGAGATAATCTATTCCTGGTAGAGATTGCGTCGGTTAAATCCCAGAGAGATGGCTTCTCAGTAGCGATAGCGGTGTTCCTTTGGTGACTCATCGCTAACGGTTTTCAACCGTGTTTTATTCTCGGTGGCGATAGCGGTGTTTCTTTGATGACTCATCGCTATGCGCTCTGACTTTCTTATCGTATTCTCGGTAATATTTCTTAACGGTCCTTCTATAATGGTTTGCAGGTTGCAACGTGTTTTAGCGTTGCATCATGCATTGCATCATGCTTCTGGAATGTAACGGTTCTCAACCGTCTTTCTAGAACCTTCTAGAATTTTCTAGACGTTTCTTAAGAGTAAAGCCGAGTTCACATAATAAAGCGTGTTTCATACCTAATTATCTCATTATTATAGTATATTACTTAATAAACGATATTTAGGTATTATCCCTTAGAATTTGCGATTTGAAATAAAATGCATTGGACAGGTAAAACATCAATTTACATTTACATTGCATAGCTATATGTAAATTAATAGAGAGTTTGTGTCAGGAATGAATTTCTAAACTGTTCCTGACTAAGTTTGACACTCAATTCGCATATATCTTTTGTAGCTAGATGCAAATTGGTGTTTATTATCGAGATAAAATACCTATATATTCATAGTTGAACTATAATATCCTTATTTAGTAGTACTTTCGATTGTATAACGGATATAATGTTATTACGCATATTGCATATGATTTTTGTCTCCTAATTTATGAATGAGAGTTTTAAGGTTAATAATATATTTGCTATAGGCGTGCTTATTGGCTGGTAATGTTAGTCTTCATATTTGTCGTTGGTCGGTAAGATAGTTTTCTACCTTATCATTAGTGGGCAAGTTTTATCTGTAGTTGGTAAGTCAAGTTTCTATTTTATCATTGGTCGGTAATGTCGATTTTTATAACGTCGTCGGTCGGTAAGGTATTTTTCTACCTTATCATTAGTGGGAAAGTTTTATCTGTAGTTAGTAGGTCAAGTTTTTGTTTTATCATTAGTCGGTAATGTCGATTTCCATATTGTCGTGTGTTGGTCAGTGAAGTGCCGTCTAAAGAAAAGTCCTACTTGTTCGTGGCTGTATGAAGTGTGTAAGACACTCAGGAGTTAGAGCGTACGACGGGTATAATATAATTAGGGGTTATGGACATACAATGTGTACGGTGCCTAGAGGCTCGCAAGTATAAATGGTGTAGAGTATACAGGGGCATTAGTAGCATGCAATATGTAAGGTGTTTCAGGGGTTAGAACATACATTTGTTGTCTGATTTAGGCGCGCTTATTCTCTAACTTTTATGTTTCCTAACGAATGATCTGGAGCGGAGCACCCTTGTTAATTATGCCTTTTATGATAGAAATATTATTTAAAAGTGGGTTGCTACTCCCATTGTCATTTGTGAGAAAACATGTTTTAACTTATGAGTAATTATATGTGTGATTAAATATTTGTTAATACCGGTCTTTCATGTAGGTTAGATATTGTCATGACTAATATGTTAAAGGATAAATTTTTGAAAAAGATTGAAATTTTGAAATTGGTCTGGACGTTACACATACAATTATATCTTTGTAAAATATTCAGTTTTACGTTATCATACTTTTTATTTTTATGCACAAAATAATGAGATCAATTTGGTGTAAAGAAAATGCACTCAGCAAACACAAAATATACCTGTTATGTTACATGTATATAATACTATATAACGTGCATGTTACATGTAACATATACGGTAATTTCTCACTCATAGATTGTTGAGACTCGAGTTTTGCGATTCTGCGTGAATTGCGCTCTCACTCGAGCGGAGCAGCCTTATCAGAAGGCTCACAGCTCGAAAAAAAGTACTCGATATTGTATTCAGCACTCACTTTATTAACGAGAGTGAATAAGTGGTAACAAAACCGAGGCGAGCGGTAAATTATAAGGACCGAGAGATTGCGAGGATTGTATGTCCGTACTATATCGGAGCTCAGCGAATTCTGCCCGAAAGTTCGAGCGAGCTCTGCGTGGCAAATTCGGAAAAAAGGGACGAAGCTCGTGATGAACTCGTGTTTTTCATGGGTCAATAGCGTGATACGTCGATCTGCTTGACGTACTTCGTAAATATTTTCTCGACTTACTTCGTAAATATTATTCTCAGTTCTCGAAGGCCCCAACACCTCAACATAGATGTAACATTTGTAATATGATATATGTTATTTATATGTTGTAATTACATCCCAGATAGCATCGATATTGTAGGATGCCGAAAGATAATCTTTCGCTAAGTCACTATTCTATCTAGGATATAATTACAATAAATAATAGAATCCATAAGTGGGAAATTACAACTAACGTGTATGTTACATGTTACATGCACGTTAATTACGTGTTATATAGCAATTATAATGTTGTTTGCTGGGCAGTTGCTTCTTGAAAATTACATACGTCTTTTGCAACTGTGTTTTCTTTGCACCTATTAATTGGTCTCATTATTCCGTGCATAAAAAGTATAAATGTATAACGAAAATTGAATGTTTTAATCTTTTCGTGACTGGCATTACAAAAAATAATTACATACGTTGTCATAGTAAAAAATAAATAATAAATAAATGTGTAAATAATAATTGAAAAATAATTTTAATTATTATTAAAAAAGTTTAATTTTTATTATTTATACATTCCCAAAAGTTTACTTGTGGGATATGAATTGGACTAGGTTTGATGGAAAATCCAGAAATGGTTGTTTTTCCACAATAAAATGTAATATAGATATTTTATTGGGATTTACGCGAATACAGAATTTTGAAGGAATGAATATATATATATATATATGGCCTCGACGGCAGTCGTCACGATCTTTTCATGTGTTCGCTCGCACGGTCTTTTCCCGACAAGATATTGTCAATTTTATAAAAGAATTGTTCACTTCAAACCTTTATAACTCAATAAGTACATCAAAAAATATTTTATTAGTGTTTTGGAAAATTCTCGAGATAAGCTACAAGAATATCTAATAAAAATAGGGGGTTTCGTTTAATAAAAGTTGACCTTGAAACGACCTCTAAATTTGACCTCTACGTCAAAGTCAAGATCACCATAAAATATTTTATTTTCCCTAGAAACAATTTTTATATATAACAATATAAAATTGTATAGAAATATATAAAATTATACATATAATTGTAAAATTATATATGAAATATGTCTATATATAATTAGATAAGAGCTTTTTATATACATATAATTATATAAATTTATATATATATATATATATATGTATATATATAGATAAATAGATAGATAGATATTTTTACACTCTAATATACAGGGTTTACTAAAAGTGTGGCAACCCCTAAATATCTCGGAAAATATACGTTTTACAGAAAAGTGTTTCCAACAAAAGTTGTAGGGTTTAAAAAGATCCACATACTGATTCTATCAATTGACCTTGGATGGCGTCGTCAAGGTCAGGTCAAGGTCACGTTGATTTTTTTAAATGGCACCCCCTACATTTGATTGCATATTCTTATAGCTTAATTCAAGAGCTTTCCAAAGCACTATAATAATGTTCATTTTTATTACGTACTTTGCGAGTTATGAGGGTTTAACGTTAGAGTACCGCCGGTTTTAACATTATTCAAGGTATACCACATGGAGGTTACTCGCTCGGATTTGCATCTGTTGTGTGTGTGATCCACTCAACTATAAGGCAAGATTGGTCGTGGATCCAGCCAACTAGGACAAGATCGGTTGTGGATCCAGTCAGCAAAAGCAAAGACCCAACTGAAACCATATCTGATCGAAGTTTTCACCTGTTATTGCTTGTATTGCCGAAAGTATCTGATTCCTCAACATATCCTCATATTTCGCTGAAGTCAAATTACCAAAAAAACTGCCTTATAAAACGTGTATAAAACATCTTGTTAGTTCCTTTATTTACCGCTATGTGACGCACGATACATGCAGTCTAACTCGCATTTAACATTCAACTAAGAATGTATAAAGCTATCAAAGAACGAGCACCTTCTAACTGCAGCTTTGAGCAAGCAGAAATTAATTGTTATCGTCCAAATACAACGTACAATTAATTAAAATTAAACGTTTTAAAAATGGCTCGCGAGTTGTCGGAACGTGAGGGAGGAGAGGATTGGCCATCTCGGTCATCAGATCTAACTCCTCTTGATTATTATCTATGGGGATACCTGAAGAGTAAGGTTTACAGAACAAAACCTAAAACCATTAACGAATTGATACAGCGAATAAGGGATGAAATGGCTTTGATACCTTTTGAAACGAATCGTAAAGCCATTTCTACATTCTATCAAAGATTAGCATATTGTCAGGAAGTCAATGGCAGCCACTTTCAGCATTTACTTTAACACATTAAAACACATCTGCAATTGTCTGGTGCAACCTAACCTAATCTCTGTATACACGCACCGCACGTACGCACACGCATTTCGAACAATTATTATGATAAATAAGTATCCACAAATTTGTTTACTATGTTTACTATGTCGATTACTTTCCAGGTCTTTAAATGCTCTATTGTAATTTGGTTGGGTCTTTGCTTTTGCTGACTGGATCCACGACCGATCTTGTCCTAGTTGGCTGGATCCACGACCGATCTTGCCTTATAGTTGACTGGATCACACACACAACAGATGCAAATCCAAGCGAGTAACCTCCATGTGGTATACTTTGTGTTCGGGAGAGATCCGAACTTTTTGCTCGGACTCGCCCTTTCCTCTTGCCTCTCTCGTCCTGCCGCGTGATTAGAGTCGTGACGGGGGCACAGAGGCGGGGGGGGAGGGGCTCCGAGTTCGACCAGAAATTGATCGATTTGGTTCGACTCACTGTCTGTCGCCTCAGTGCGCGAGCCGGGTCTTTTTCCTTTCGGAGACGAATTGGCGAGCTCTTGCTCCCTTTTTTTGCTCACGTGTCCTCTCTTGTAATTCGGGATCGAATCTGTCTTGATCCCGAAAGGACTTACGTTTTCTTGTGTGAAAGTGCAAGTTAATTGTGCCCGAACAGTGTCAGTAATAAAGTTTATTGTTATTAATAAACAGGAGAGTTTTCTTTTCCGCGAGTTCCGACATTATTTATAACGCGAGATTTGCCTCTAAACTCCACATTGTGTTCGCTGCTCTGGGGTCAGTGGAGTCGAGCATATCGCGGATTATTTGGTCGAACTCGGAGCCCCTTCCCCCCCCCGCCTCCGTGCCCCCGTCGCGACTCTAATCACGCGGCAGGACGAGGGAGGCAAGAGGAAAGGGCGAGTCCGAGCGAAAAGTTCGGATCTCTCCCGAACATGCCGCCCGCCTCGTTGTGAGCGACGAAATAGCATTAACGTTCGCACGGCCGCCCGCCGTGCGAGAACAGTACAGTAGGCGAAAAAGGGATATTAATCGAGTAATCTAAGCAGTTACAAAAATTTAAATCCCGAAGGGATGGTTTACAATAAAATGACAAATCCTGAGTGGATTATTCTACGCCTTTCGTTGTTCGATCGGCACTGGCAGTGGACACAGCTTCGTGACCGATCTCCGTAGGACGGAGGAGGCTGTTCGTACGTCCGCCACTCTCACCAATCCATCGGGTCCGGGAAAGACGTCGACAATCCTGCCCATCGCCCACTTTGTGGGGGGAGGAGGTCGTCTTTGATCAGGACTAAGGTTCCCTCTCGGATATTGCTCCTGGTTTGCAGCCACTTAGATGACTGCTGCAAATGATGCAGGTAATCTTTTGACCACCTGCGCCAAAAATGATCCCGCATATTAGTGAGTAGACGCCAACGGTTATGCGAAGCTGGCAAATCATCTGGAGTTATCGTCTCAGGAATGCTCGTAAGAGCCTCACCCACTAGGAAATGACCAGGGGTCAAGGCGGTCAGATCAGAAGGATCGGAGCTGAGAGGATAGAGTGGTCGGGAATTTAAGCATGCCTCTATTTGGCACAACACAGTGGAGAGCTCCTCAAAAGTGAGGGCGTGATCGGCGACGATACGCCTTAAATGGTGTTTGGTTGACCGGACACCCGCTTCCCAGATTCCACCGAAGTGCGGTGCGTGAAGCGGGATAAAGGTCCACGTCGTTCCTTCATTCGCCAAGTGCGAACCAGCGTCAGACGCGGCCCTCAGCATCCGTCTAAGTTCCTGGTCTGCTCCGCGAAAGTTGGTGCCGTTGTCTGACATCAACTCCGCACAGCGACCTCGTCGCGAAGTAAAGCGATGGTATGCTGCGATAAAGGCCTCAGTCGAGAGATCAGAGACCGCCTCCAAGTGGATCACTCTCGTCGCCAAACAGATAAAGAGACTGATGTAGCCCTTTAATGCCGTGCGACCTGGGCCCTTCGACGCACGAACCTTGATTGGTCCGGCGAAATCCACTCCGGACGAAAGGAAGGGTTGAGACGGGCGAAGTCTCACCGACGGAAACTGTCCGATCCGCTGCTGCCCAGTTTCCTGTCGAAAGCAAGTGCAGCGCACGCACTCCCGCACGATGCGCCGAGTCAGCAAGCCACCCTGGACAATCCAGTATTTGCGGAGAAGATGACTCCGAGTTAGCTGTGGACTTCCGTGCATTGTGGCCGCGTGCGCATCCTGCACGATGAGCCAAGTAAAGCGCCCTGTCTTTGGCAAAATCAAGGGATGCTTTTCGGCATATGGTAGAAAGGCAGCATGCAGTCGGCCTCCGACCCGAAGTAGACCTTTCTCATCTAGAAAGGGCTGAAGCGTCCTCAAGGTCGATCGCACCGAGATTGATCGCCCCGCCCTCAATGCTTCGCTTTCTAAGTGGAACGGCGATTGGCCGTAGCGTACCCACGCGGTTAGACTATCCTGCAGTTCAGCCTGAGTGAGAAAACCAGAAGTCTTGGGATCCTTTCCTTTAGCGTTTCGAACAAATCTGAAACAATAAGCTGTTGCACGTAACAAAGCGAAGAGTGAGGGGAAGAGAGAGAGGGAGCGTGAAAGAGGTTCGTCGTCGATGTCCGCGTGAGCAGTGAGTACTGCTACGGCTCTCTGTTCTTCCTTCCATGCTGTGCACTGAGGTGCGTCCAGACGAGGCCAGCTCGTCTGTGGTTGTTGCAGCCAGGACGGGCCATGCCACCATAGCTCCGAACTTAAGAGTTCGGCAGGGTTGATTCCTCGTGTCGCCAGATCCGCAGGATTCGAGGCCGTCTGAACATAGCTCCAGCACTCGCTTGGCAGCGTTGACTGGATTTCAGAGACCCGGTGCGCGATGAACGGCTTCCATCTCGAAGCGTGCGAAGCCATGCTAGGACGACTTGTGCGTCCGTCCAGGCAAAGACGGGTATCGCCGAAAGGTTGAGTTCTCTCGTTGCTCTGTCCAAAAGCTTGGTGAGCAAGACAGCCCCGCAAAGTTTCAGCCGAGGGACACTCTGCGTCTTCACAGGTGCGACCTTCGTCTTGGCGGCCAAGAGCGTTGTCACCGCTTGGCCTGAAGGCTTGACGACTCTCAAGTAGAGAACCGCCGCAAATGCTCTCTCCGATGCATCGGAGAATCCGTGGATCTGAGTATCCCGGTCCCCGCACCCGTCTGGACCCACCTGGGCAACCGGACGCCATCGAGAACCGGCAACGAAGATCGAAATGTGGTCTATAAACGCTTCAACTCCGTGTCCAGAGGCTCGTCCCAGTCACATCCTCGCACCCGCAGATCTTGAATGAAGATCTTACCGAAGATTAAGACCGGTGCGACCCATCCCAAGGGGTCAAACAAACGAGCCACTTCGGAGAGCGCCACCCTCTTCGTGACGGCCTTGTGATCCGAGGGTAAAGTCACCTTTAACGTAAGGGTATCGGCAGCTGGGTCCCACCGAATGCCAAGTGCGCTGACCACTTCGCCCGCCGGAAGCACGCATTCCTCCTGTCCGGTTCTGATACAGAGGGACGGATCGTTGGACGCCCACTTGCTCAGGGCGAAGCCGCCCTCTCGAAGTATAGCCACCAGCTGGTTCTGTAACTCCCGTGCTCCTCCAAGTCGTGGGCACCCGTCAAAATATCGTCCACATAAGAGTGGCGTAGTAGAGCGGTTGCACCATCCGGGAAGCGAGAGCTTTCATCCTGCGCCAGTTGGTGTAAAGTACGAAGCGCTAAAAATGGCGCGGGAGTCGTACCGTAAGTTACTGTTAAGAGACGGAAGTCACGGACTTCTCCCGTTAGCTCCGGGCGCCAGACTATGCGCTGAAGATCTGCATCCTCCTTATGGATCCGGACCTGGCGAAACATTTTGACAATGTCTGCCAAAAAGCCGACTCGGAACATGCGCCATCGAGTGATGACCAGCCAAAGATCCGCCTGGAGTCGCGGCCCTGGTAGCAGGCAGTCGTTCAGGGAGTAAGTTGATGTAGTACGGGCAGAGGCGTTGAAAACTACACGGATCTTTGACGCCGGATCAGACGCCTTAAAGACGGCGTGATGTGGCATGTAGTACGCCTCACTAGGAGCTGCGTGCCCTCGTGGGACGATCTCCATGTGGTCCAGCGCCAAATACTCCGTCAGGAAGTCGTTGTACTTTCGCCGAAGTTCCGGCTGCCTCGCTTGCCGCCTTTCCGAGGACAGCAACATTGATAGCACCGCAGGTCGAGATGCTCCTAGTCGAGCGGGTCCCGTGCGGCGTGGCAAACGCACTACGTATCTCCCGTCGAGTCGCGGGAGTACGTGCTCACGAAGTGCTGCTCAGCTTGTTCCTCCTCAGGGCTCAATGGTTTGTCCGCTCCAACATCCTCCAGTTCCCAAAACTGTTGGAGAACAGCAGCCAGCGCATCTCGCGCCTTCTGTACATGATGGACCGACAACTGGCTGTTACGGTACCTCCGCTGCGTGTTGATAATGTTCCGAGTAACACCCAGCCGAGCGAAATGAGCTGCGCTGTAGGCGAACCAGGTTCACCATGTCGTACGTCCGGTTGTAGCACCTGACCGTAAACGTCAGCGCCCAGGATGACGTCAATGCGAGATGGCACATCAAAGCGCGGATCGGCTAACTGCAGACCCTGAATGTGAGGCCATGAGCATCCTGAAACATGCCTAGACGGGATAAGGTTAGTGAACATACGAAGAACGAACGCGTCCACCGCGATCTCCGAAGCTGGAAAAGTCTAGACCGCAATGCGACACGAACCGACGAGGACACCTAACCAGTTCGAGTGCCCTGTAGTCCTGCGACCACGACATCAACACTTCGGCGTTTCAATCGCAGCGATTGTACCACTGATTCAGTACAAAAGACGCCTCCGAACCTGAGTCTAATAACGCCCGCACCGTCAGAGTCTCACCGGGGGACTTGCAGAAGCACTTCCGCTGTGGAAAGTAACATGGTTCGACCAGTGTTCATAGCGAGCGCCGAAACACTAGTTGACAGGTCGCTCGTCGTCTTTGCCTTGGACCGCTTTCCGTCATCCGCACGCGACCCTGAACGACATTCACCATGCACCACGGTATGGTGTTACCTCCGCACACCAGACAGCGTCCAGTATGCTGACATGAATCCGGTCCGTGTCCCGAACGCAGACAGTTGCTGCACAAAACCAGTCTTCCATATGTGCTCGCCACGTTGTTCGACGGCAGCGCCTTGAACTTCGAGCAATAAGGCAGGAGATGGTTTGCCTTACACATCGAGCAGCCTTTGTCCGCCTTAGGCTTGGAAGTCGTGGCGGCGTTAGACGACACGCAAGTGGGCTTCTTCGAAGATTCCACCACCGCTGCGTAAATCGGCTGAGAGTCGACTCTGGATTGGCTGCCTCTAAAGCGCGTATCCTGTTCTCCAAATAGCGTTGGAGTTCCTTGAACGTGGGAAAAACTCGAGAGTCCGCGAGCGAGGTCTCCCAATGAACGCGGGTGGCCGCGTCTAATTTGCTTACAAAAGATGGACCACCCAGTCGTCCAGTGATCGACTGGTCTTTTAAGCGTCTTAAATGCTCTAAGCGAGCGCAAGGTCACTCCGAGTAAGCGCTTTATTTCCGTTGGCGAAAGCTTTAGCACTTGCGGCAGGGCAAGACAGTAAATTACGCATATGAGCGTACAAAAGAATGCGAGGATTGTCGTACCTTGCTAGTAGATCCTCCCACGCACCTTGATAGGCGGCGTCGGTCAAAGGAACGCTGTCCACCACATGTGCGCCTCGCCTGTCAAGCTGCTTTTCAGGTATTGCAGCTTTGCACCTTGGAGATCGTTGAGACATCGTGCACGAGTGAGCGGAATAAATCGCGAAAACCCTCCCACGCGAGCTGATCGCCTGAAACTTCGGCAGCGTGATCTTCGGCAATTGCATCTGTTTAAATACAGACGCTCCGTCGCCGAAGCTTGAATCGTGCGTACGATCGTGCGCCGATTGGCCAGTTGCGCGGGTCGAAGTCAAATCGGCTAACGCTTCCGCGAATTTGTGTCGCACCTCAAAATAGCTTTCCTCGATTGTCGTGAAGTAATTCCGCCGAACATATTCAGTCTTGTCGGCTTCCGGCTTCACAATCACGAGGAAGTGCTGGTCTTGAAATTGGCGCCAGTATTCGTTAAGACGCTCGATGCGCGTATTAATCTCCGTCGGAGTAATTTTCGCTTGCCCGAGCTTTTGCCAAATTTACCACATACGGGAGATAAAACCGCCTAAGACAGTCTGTTTCTAATAATATCCTCCATGACGAGAAAATGGATGTATCCGTGCTAACAGAGAAGAGCGGCGTATTCACGTGTCTGCATTAAACGTTGCGGGCGCGCTCTCTCCGAGTGAATATGTCTCTCCTCGGCACGCGGCGAGTTTTGCCTCGTGTAAATTGTACTCGCGACAGCTGACAGTCGTGTTACACGCGCGCACGGCTCTGCGCAGACTCGATTCAATGCGCTCCGGCGACCTCGCGCGCGGAGCGAGCGTCCATGCGAAATACACGTGATGATCACGCGATGACGTCACGCGCGAAACCTTGCGAGCCGGACCGCGTGGCGAAGAAAGTAATAATTTCGACCCACAAAGTTCGCGGGAATCGTCACTGCACCGTATGCACTAAGATGCACGAGAAGGCACTTTTCGCGATGCAAGAAGACGATTCTCGGTTGCCTTTAGCAGCTGCTCCTTGGAGGACTTCGAGCTTGCGAGACGAGGTCCCATTTGTAAGGCACGTGCAAGGCACGTGTCAGGAGAATCTTTTATCTTTCACCCCGCGTGGAATCCGGCTCGAAGGACCAAATGATCCGCGATATGCTCGATTCCACTGATCCCAGAGCAGCGAACACGATGTGGAGCTTAGAGGCAAGTCTCGCGTTATAAATAATGTCGGAACTCGCGGAAAAAAAACTCTCCTGTTTATTAATGACAATAAGCTTTATTACTGACACTGTTCGGGCACAATAACTTGCACTTTCACACAAGAAAACGTAAGTCCTTTCGGGATCAAGACAGATTCGATCCGAATTACAAGAGAGGACACGTGAGCAAAAAAAGGAGCAAGAGCTCGCCAATTCGTCTCCGAAAGGAAAAAGACCGGCTCGCGCACTGAGGCGACAGACAGTGAGTCGAACCAAATCGATCAATTTCTGGTCGAACTCGGAGCCCCTCTCCCCCCCGCCTCCGTGCCCCCGTCGCGACTCTAATCACGCGGCAGGACGAGGGAGGCAAGAGGAAAGGGCGAGTCCGAGCGAAAAGTTCGGATCTCTCCCGAAACACCTTGAATAATGTTAAAACCGGCGGTACTCTAACGTTAAACCCTCATAACTCGCAAAGTACGTAATAAAAATGAACATTATTATAGTGCTTGGAAAGCTCTTAAATAAGCTATAAGAATATGCAATCAAATGTAGGGGGTGCCATTTAAAATAATCAACGTGACCTTGACCTGACCTTGACGACGCCATCCAAGGTCAATATGATAGAATCAGTATGTGGATCTTTTTAACCTACACTTTTGTTGGAAACACTTTTCTGTAAACGTATATTTTCCGAGATATTTAGGGGTTGCCACACTTTTGGTAAACCCTGTATATGTGTATATATACAGGGTGTCTTGCAACGTAATGTCCACAGTAAAACTTATATTTTGGGATCATTAAGTCAAAAAGTATGCCCTAAAGTCGATTACAGCGAAAAGACGAAATTGCATATAATAAGATAAATATTATTTATTGAATAATAATTTATTTTAAACGATAATATTATAGAATTACTTTATAAACTGTGCAATAATATAGATTATAAAGGTGTTTTTCTCGAACCTGTGCGGTAAAATAAAACATACATTGAATCGTTGAGAAATTCATTTTCCGCACGCTAAACAGCAATCGAAATTTGAATTTTCGTGACTGGCATTACAAAAAATAATTACATACGTTGTCATAGTAAAAAATAAATAATAAATAAATGTGTAAATAATAATTGAAAAATAATTTTTAATTATTATTAAAAAAAATTTAATTTTATTATTTATACATTTATTTCTTATTCATTTTTTTACTATGATAACACATGTAATTTTTGTAATACCAGTAACGAAAGTTTCAATTTCGATTGTTGTTTAGCGTGCGGAAGATGAATTTCTCAACGATTCAATGTATCCCTTATTTTACCGCACAAGGTGCGCGAAAAACACCTTTATGATCTATATTATCGCACAGTTTATAAAGTAATTTATAATCTTATCGTTCTTATCGATCTATAATCTTATCTTATCGTTATAAATAAAAAATTATTATCTTCAATAAATAATATTTATATTATTATATGCAATTTCGTCTTTTCGCTGTAATCGACTTTAGGGCATATGTGTACTTTTTGACTTACAATTAGAATGATCCCAAGAATATAAAGTTTCACTGTGGACATTACGTTGCAGGACACCCTTATATATATAAAAAGAGAGACCGATCTGTAATAATTATAATTGATTATAAAGTACATAATTCTTTGTAATAAATAAATGATTTATATGAAAGTATTTTCGAACTTTTTTGAGCAGATAATATTATCATTATCGGAATAGAGCAGTAGTTAGATAAGATTGTATTGAAAAAGATAGATTTTATTTTTGATTATATAGATATCGTGAGTATTTATATGTATATATATAAAATTTATATATTATTATATTTGTCTACTATATGCGCACAATAAACATTTATAATTTCTATAAAAGCAGGCTATATCGAGTAAACATAAAACAGATAAAAATAATCTTGTAAGGTCCTATAAAATTTTTTTTAAACGCATCGCGATATTTGTCCAAAAACGGATTCTATATGTCCATAAAAAATTATTCACTTTACGAAACATCTTGTATATATGCAATATCTATATAATCAATAAAATTATCCTTTCAATATCTTATCTAACTACTGCTCTGTTTCAATTATATAATATATTAAAATATTTTCATAAAAATAATTTTTATTTATGATAAATAATTATCTACTAAAACTTTAAAATCAATTATAATTATACAAAATTTTATTTTTACGTGTGCATGTTGAGAGAGAAGAGACAAAGAGACAGAGAAGAATACAAAGAGACAGAAGAAAACAGAAACAAATAGATAGATAGATTGATCGATCGATGTAGAAAGATCGATAGATAGTTTAATAGACAAATACCTAAAAATAAATAGATATAATAGATAAATATGATATTATTGTACGTCTCGTGGGGTCGCGGCTGCGAAAATACGAATGCAGAGCTCGGCTCTTTCCACGAGACACGATCGCTATTACGGGTACGCGAATCTATGCATTCTCCCCGGGGATACCCGCGATCTAAGGCTATTCGCGCTGGAACCGAGGTGATCGGACTATTGCGTGGGACCTATCTGTGACTCTACTGTAATAAAGATGGCTTTGTCGATTGCTCTATGCGAAACGTCGTTGGGGTTGCGTAAATAATCTTCGTACGTAAACTGGCTATTACGGGTACGCGAATCTATGCGATTCTCCCCGGGGATACCCGCGATCTGAGGCTATTCGCGCTGGAACCGAGGTGATCAGACTATTGCGTGGGACCTATCTGTGACTCTACTGTAATAAAGATGGCTTTGTCGATTGCTCTATGGAAAACGTCGTTGGGGTTGCGTAAGTAATCTTCGTACGTAAACTGGCAAAACTCGCACAAATCACTAATTCGCGTGAAGGTAAGTCGGAAGTTGCAGACCCCGCAATTTATTCCAATGTGTATTCCGCCTATGATTAAAGTATGCTTCCGAATCTTTGTCCAAAGTAATTTCGAGACTCTAGGTAAGGTGGAGTAGCATGAAATGCAGAGGGCTGCCTTAGTCTCGAAGTGGATGTACCCGACACCAACTTGGCAATAGAATAAGAGTTCAAACGGTACAAAGAGATCAACTTCTGGAGAAGGGGTTATACCTCTAAGGGTGAGTCGGCACATTTATGCTTGCTGCGTAATCGAATTGATAATGCGCCATTCGCTCGTAGATCTTCGGTGAACCGGCAGTTATCGAGAAGTCAGTAGTCGTCGGTAAAACCGTCGGTAATTGCTCAGTAAACACTGGTAAGGTGTCAGTAAGGTGTCGATAACCAGTTGGTAAAAGAACGTACGTCGGTATATTGTCGCTAACGTCGGTAAAAGAACGTATGTCGGTATATTGTCGGTAATGTCGGTAAAAAAACGTATGTCGGTATATCGTCGGTAACGTCGGTAAAAGAACGTATGTCGGTATATTGTCGGTAACGTCGGTAAAAGAATGTATGTCGGTATATCGTCGGTAATGTCGGTAAATCGAGAGTGTTTTCAATTGATTATTGTTTAAATGACTACTTTGTTGTACGGATTTACGAAGTTATTTCTTGAGACACAAAGATTTTTAAGAGATTGAACTATTTGCGTTTTTCCGTGTTAGAAGTCCGAGGGTTGCACCGCGTGTGATGGTCGACCCTAGTTTTATAGCCTGACCCTTTTTTTATAGCTTCCGCGTGACGATGGAAAAGAGGAAAAATGCGTCGGAGATTTTTCTAGAATGTTCACTTCCACGTGGTAGAAGCGTCTCTGAATTTGCTAACACGCGCGATTCCTTAGGTTAACGTGAATTTCACTTACCTTTAGTAGCACTTTCTTGATCGTGTTGGCTTGTACTTGGAGGTAGTGCGTGCGGCGAGGGTCGTTCTCTGGGTCCCTTCGTGGGTCGCGGCCTTGCCATGGCGAAGGGGCTCACCCTTTGCAAGAGGATAGTCTTGCAAAGGGTGCCAACAGCGACCTGTACCTCTCGAGGTACTCTGCCCCGGTCTCGGGGGCATGCCCTCCGTCTCTAGGGGCTCTTCTCGGGGTGTAGAAGAATTCCACATCCCGGGGAGACGGGGCCCACTTTTCCGTTAGAGCTTCAGCTCGTATGTGGTAAGGGATGGCGACCCGGAATTCAAACGCCCGGTGGCATGGCACCGTTAGGAGAAGGGACTGCACGGCGCTTTGGTGCTTCCCTTCCCACCATGCTCTGTGGCCCGACACGTCTGTCGAGTAGGCGGCTTTTGCCGCCCGGGGTTTTCTCCCCCCTCCGCCCTGGGGGAGGCTCGTTTTGGGGTTTTCCTCTGGGGGGTGGGGGGTGGGCGTCGGCGGCGGGGGCCGCAGTGGAGGGTGCCGCGCGCGATTACCCGAGGGGCTCTGCCCGGAGGGTTTCCCAAAGGGCTTTGCCCGGAGGGGGTCGCGCCGGCGGAGGGATCGACATGGTCACCCGAGGGGCTTTGCCCGGAGGGTTGTCCCAAGGGGCTTTGCCCGGAGGGGGCCATGTCGATCGGTCCTCGGGGCCCGCTCGTGGAGCGGTTCCCGAGGACAGGGAGGTGCCTCAGGGTGCTGGTTGGGGGTCTCCAGGCTGGGTAGCCTGGGTCCCCGTTCCAGCGTCCCTGGGGTAGGCCGCACCCAGGCCGCTCGGACATTTCCGAGGCAGGGCTGGATCGGTGGAGACGGCCACGCGTGGTCACCGAGGGGCATAGCCCGGAGGGGTTACCCAAGGGGCATAGCCCGGAGGGTGCCACGGCCGCCTGCCGCCGGGGCCGCTCGGACGTTTCCGAGGCGGGGCCTGGCGGCGAGAGTAGATATCCCCGGTCGGTCGGAACCGTTTTCCCTTCCGAACCGACCGATCGGGAAGGCGCACCCCCTCGTCGAAAGACTTCGACGAGGGGTAACACGGTAGCTGGTCGCCACGGCGTGTAGGGCAGGGCCGGGGAGCGGTGACCCTGTCCAAAGCGTCCGTGGGGCCCCCCGGGTGGCGCCGCCCGTCACGGTGCTCGCGTTGTCGGAGGCGCGGGACCCCTGAAAGCCCGTGTGGGCGTCAAATCCCACACGGGTGTGTAAGGGGCTCGGGGTCAGGCAGGGGTGCGGTATCCCCCCGGCCAATGACGTACGTCCCCTCGCCGGGGGGACTCGGGGCCCGGCCTTGGGGTGTGGCCGGTCATGTTTCGGGGCACCCCTTGGCCGGTGGGGGTATACCCTGGGGGACAGGAGCCGTGACGGGAACGAGGGATAAACCAAAATGGAGACACGATCTAAACTAATGAACAAAAAAGAATGTAAGGGGCAGAACACGCAGGCCAAAAACTATGCGGCCCAAGAAGGAACATCAGCCGTACAAAGAACTCTTGAAACAGTAAGAGATATTACTATAAGGCTTGAAAGAGTTGACTCACAAGTGAGCATAACGTCATCCGAAGGCTCGTGGTTAGGCACAAGGATGGGAGGAGGAATGGATGGCTCGCATGCCTCCAGGTCTACGATCAACAGATAGAGAAGCCCCTCAAGAACGAGGAGGGCCTCAAGATCGCAAGCAGAAAACGGGGCACCCTCCGAGTGCAGCTTTAATCTGGACTTGGATCAAGGCAGCATAAATACGGAGCATGCGGAGCTGCCTTTCCTCCGTCCAATCAACAGGCAGATTGACCTGGAGATGGAAAGGCAGGGAGGAGTACCACAACTCCAGATACCGGAGAGACCGCAGCAGCCGCAAGAGGAGGCAAACCTAGATGAGGAAGAAGCAATCTTCATCATCGAGGAAAAGAAGAGACAGGGCCGGCCCATAACAACAGGGGAATCCGAAAAGCTGAAAACAAGGAGGGCTCAAGAGGCAAAGGAAAAGGATCTCCAAAAAGAAAAGGAGATCCTGGACCCACAAATCAAACCGGAGCCAAAGAAATCCTACAAGGCATTTCTAGACAGCATTAGGGACAAGGAGGAAATATGCAAAGAGGCCTCGATTGCAGATCTGGAAGCGATGATTTCAGAGAAATGCGCGGACATTTACAAGGTCAGTGTGCAATCGGGAAATATGAAGGGAACCTTCACAAAAGCGGCAAAAGAGGCAGCGGCCGATATGTGTGCCGCTGCTACAGTGCTCGCTATGAAGGCGCAGAATCCACAGGAAACAAACGTGGAAAACCAGATGGCTGAGATGAGGCACCAGATGCGCATTCTCAGAATGGAGAACGCAGAGCTCCGTAGGGTGGTAGAGAGGCTTGGGAGACAGAATAAGAAACAGGAGAAGGAAAATCCCCCAAAACCGCTTGAGGAAAAAAGAGGTGCCTCTCTCGCCTGGGAAAAAGGGGAAAGGACGGAGAGATGGGTGAGTGAGAACTCGCCTCTATCGGGGGATGGGGGGACCCCGGACATCGGGACGATCCGGACGTCTGGGATCCCACTTCCACCCACAGATAGGGAGCCCTCGGAAAATAGGGGAAAGGGAACTCCTGGAGGGACACTTCCACCCAAAGGTGGGGTCCCCCCAGGTGCCCCCAAGGAGGAATACATGGAAGTAGAGGAATGGAGATCGGACATCTTCAAAAAGGAAGAGTTTCCTCCCCTGGGAAGAAAAAGGAAAGGAAATGGACCAAGCCCACTCCCCCAAAATAGAAGGAAAATAGTGGACATAGTGGAGCAAGAAGACAAGGAGGAAAAGGAGGAGAGGTATAGAAGAGAGGCCCTTGTCGCTATGATGGAGGGAGTGTGTGAACGCATTATGGACAGAAGGTTAGGTAACCCGATGCCCAGCTTCGCCCAGAAAAAAGAAGCAGAAAAAATGAGGAGGAAGGAGCAAGGGAACACAGAGAAAAAATTGCCTGCCCCACGAAAAGGAAAGAGGGAACCAACAGCGAAGACAAAGAACACCCAAATAACGACCCTGATCCCACCGGCAAAACCAGGAATGCCGAGGATCAAGGCGATAGAAAAGGTCTCGCTGAATGTCCTAAAATAGGGCAAAAAGAATATAAAGAAAGGGAAGGAAAAGGGAGCCACAAACAACTCCCAAACCGCTCCGAAAGAGACGCGACCACCGACGGACACAAAGACGCACTCAATGTGGACGACAGTTGTGTCTAGAAAGAACGCGAAGAAGGAGAGAGAAAAAGAAGGGAAGGGAAAGCCGCAACCCAAACAATTGCAGCAAAGGGCTCCTGTTGTACCGCAGACCAAAAAACAAACAGGACCCACTAAGAAGACAAAGAGGATACCGAAGATGGCGGCAGTATCAATTACATGCCCCCCCCCCGGGGAATACGAAGCAACCATGGCAGAGGCCCGCCAAAAAATGGGGAACCTGGAAAGCCTCGGTATCCAAAACGGGATAAAAATTAAAAGAGCCGTAACAGGCGCTTTAATATATGAAATCCCCGGGGAGAACAGCAACGAGTTGGCCGACAAGCTGGCCCTCAGGCTAAAACAGATTCTTTCTGAGAAAGAGGGCGTCAGAATCCAGCGCCCAACAAAGACGGCAGAGGTAAGGCTGAGAGGGTTGGACGAAACAGCCACCCCCTCAGAAATACGTCAAGCGATCTCGACGAATGGGAGATGCGAGGAGGAAGAGATCCACGTAGGGAAAATCAAGAGGGCACCCAACGGAATCAAGATGGTGTGGATTCGGTACCCTCTAAGGCCGGTAAACATGCTGACCCAGAAGACCCAGATACAAATTGGTGGACGATGGCGAAGGTGGAGCTACTGGACAATCGCCCCCTCCAGTGCTACAAATGCCTGGAGGGGGGACATGTCCGGGCTAGATGCCCGAACAAAGCCGACCGCAGCGGTAAATGTTACCGCTGCGGAGAAGAGGGACACCGGGCAAACACATGTGAGGCTCCGGTGCACTGCGTGGTGTGCAGTGACAAAGGCCTCCCCGCCAACCACAGAACGGGGGGAGGTCCTGCACACCGGTGCAAAAAGGAAGAAGAGGTGTTCCACTAAATAAAGTGGTGGGAACCCCCAAAGAAACCGGAGCCACACAGATGGAAGTGGAGCCGCTGCGAAACGCCTCTTCCCTGCCAAACATCCGGGAGAGACCAAAGGAGCAAAGGCCCACCAGAGCTAAAGGAGGAAGGAAAATGGCGGAGGAAGAAACCCCCTCCACCAGCCAGGAAGTCGGGAAGAGGCAACGCCTCAAAGAAGATCTAGAGGGGAGAAACGCCGACGCCATGGAAGTAGTGGAGGGAGGAATGACAACCGGAATGATTGATGCTGGCCAATAAGATACTACAGGCCAACACCAATCATGCGAGGGGCGCCCAGGATCTCTTTGTCCACACTATGGCGGAGAGATCCTGTGGCTTAGGTATTGTCGCGGAGCCCTACAAAGTACCAAACAGACCCAACTGGGTGCAAAGTACCCAGGGCACCGCGGCAATCGTGAGGAGGAACACGCCTGACTCCCTTCCCCTAAACTTTATGGGAGCGGGGGAGGGATTTGTGGTGGCTTCCTGGGGGCTCATCATTGTGATAGGAGTATATCTCCCGCCGAGCTTAAAAAATAACGACTTCGGCGGGAGATTAAGAATCCTGGAGCGAGAGATCGCCAAACATCACCCGGTAATGGTCGCGAGGGACTTTAACGCCAAATCAACGGCGTGGGGTTCCCCGCGCACCGACTGGCGAGGTGATGAGGTGGAGAAATGGGCGACGCAATGCGACCTTGTGCTCCTCAATGAGGGGAGCGAGAGGACGTGTGTGCGCCGACAGGGCGGGTCGATCGTGGACCTTACGTGGATGACCCGCCCTGCGGCAAGGATGGCACAAGGGTGGAGAGTGGCGGCGGAGATCGAAACACTATCTGACCACAGATACATAGAGATCTCCGTCGCCATGATCACCAAGGAGGTCACAGAGCGTCGCCGAATAAGAGAGGCGAGCTCCAGGAGATAGGCCCTCAGGAAGTTAGATGAGGACATATTCATGGCGGCGATCCACGCCGCCATAATAGGGAAGGAAGAGGGGACCGGGGACCTAGAAGAACAGGGCATGGCTGACAAACGTTATACTCCAAGCGTGTGATGTAGCCATGCCCAGAGTAAAGGCCCGGTCCCCCAAACACGCATATTGGTGGTCGGAGGACATCGCCGAACTAAGACGGTCCACCGACCACGCAAGGAGGAACGTAAGGAGGAGGGCAAAGCACGCGCTATCGGACCCTGAAGGACTGGAGGACGCGTGGGACGCATATAGAAACAGGAGAAACGACCTGCGCGCCTCCACTCGACAGGCAAAGGCGAGGGCCTGGGAGGACTTGATCTCCTCCCTCGATGAGGACCCGTGGGGCCGTCCCTACAAAATTGTCTTGAACAAATTGAGAGGGGGGACGGCACCACTAACAGAATCACTGGACCCCCATCTTGTCGAAAACATCATAGGGGTCCTGTTCCCCCAAACAGCGGGTACGCAAAACCCGATACAGAGAGGGGAGCAGGACTGGGATGAGGCAAAGATGGGGGTCACGGGAGGAGAGATCCGGGATGCCGTCAAAAGAATCAAGAAAGGGAAAGCCCCTGGACCAGACGGCATCCACGGAAAAATCTGGGCCCTCGCCTTTAAAGAGCTGGTCGAGCCCATGAAGCATCTATACAACGGGTGCCTCAAGGAGGGCTCCTTCCCCCAGGAGTGGAAAAGGGCATCTATAGTCCTAATCCCTAAGGAAGGCAAACCTAGGGATTCGCCCTCGGCGTACAGAGCTATATGTCTGTTGGACGAGGCGGAAAAGATTCTCGAGAGAATCATCGCTGCCCGCCTCGTCCATCACCTGTCCCGAGATGGTTCGAATCTGGATGACAAGCAATACGGCTTCCGGGCCGGGCGGTCAACGGTAGACGCAATCCTGCGTGTCCGCTCGGTCTCGGAGGCCGTCGTGAGGGAAGGCGGAGTGTTGTTGGCGGTCTCACTAGACATATCGAACGCCTTCAACACCCTGCCATGGCACCGGGTGGGGGATGCCCTGAGATACCACAGGGTCCCCCTCTACCTGGTGTCAGTCATATCGGACTATTTTCGGGACAGAAGTCTGATCTATAGACCAGAACGCCGAGGAGCGCAGGGTCGAGGTTTCGTGCGGGGTTCCACAGGGGTCCGTGTTGGGCCCCCTTATGTGGAACCTCGCCTATGATGTGACCCTGAGGACTGCCCTTCCCCCGACTGTGACGTCATCTGCTACGCGGATGACACATTAGTCATGGCCGGGAGAGACACCTAGGAGGAAGCAATAGCGCGTGCAAACATTGCGGTGGCTCGTGTCGTGCGCACAATTGGAGGAATTGGGCTAAAGGTGGCGCCCCAAAAGACAGAGGCTGTCTTTTTTCATGACGGTTCTCATGGGGCGCCGCCCAAAGCCCAAATATTAGTAGGGAACACCTCCATAGGGGTGGGGACCCAGATTAAATATCTGAGTCTTCACTTGGATGGCAGATGGGCCTTCGGCGAGCACTTCCGCCAACTAACCCCGAGGGTAAATAAGGCGGCAATGGCGTTATGCCGACTGCTGCCGAACCTCGGGGGACCGGACGGAAGGGTTCGCCGACTTTACGCCGGAACTATCCATTCTATGATTATGTACGGAGCCCCCGTGTTTGCGGAAAAGGTAGAGGCCACCCGCAAACTGAGAGATGCTCTGCATCAATTGCAAAGGCGGGTGGCCAACCGCATATGCCGGGGTTCCGTATCGTTAGCTGGACGGCCGTGGGGGTGCTCGCAGGAGTACCCCCTATCGAGTTGCTGGCCCGCATGTACGCCGGGGTTTATAGGCGTACACGCGGGCTACAAAGGCAGGGAACGGCCGTCACGGATAGTGTCCGGCGTGTTTTGAGGGCCCAGACCCGACGGAAACTGATCGAGAGTTGGTCCGGCAGCCTACAAGATCCACGGCTGCCGGGACAATGGACCGTCGGGGCCATCCGGCCCTGCTTAGAACAATGGCTAGGCAGGGCCAAGGGAAGTGTATCATACCGGATGACACAGGTGCTCACCGGGCACGGATGCTTCGGTGAGTACCTGTGTCGCATTAAGAAGGAGCGCACGACACGCTGCCACAACTGCGGCAGTGGGCGAGACACAGCCAGCCACACACTCCAGGAGTGCGTGGCCTGGTCTGAAGAGAGAAGGGAGTTAGAGGCGGCAATAGGGGGAGGGGATCTCTCGCTACCATCGATAGTCAAGGAGATGGTAGCGAGAGATGTTTGGAAGGCGTTTTCCTCCTTCTGCGAGAGCTCTCTCTCTCTCTCTGCTTCCTCCTTCTGCGAGAGAGTGCTCTCTCGCAGAAGGAGGAAGCAGAGAGAGAGAGAGAGAGGGCTGGAAGGGGTGGCTCCCAGCCCTCGGAAGGGGAAGACGGAGGAGGAGACGACCCAGAAGATGGGGACGGGCCCCCTTCTTTCCCGCCATCGGCGAGTTCGCTCGCCTGTGGTAGTGGGAATCGGGGGGGGGGGCGCCTCCAGAGAAGGAGACAGTGGTAGACGTGGGGACGGGCCCCCTCTTTTCCGCCGCCGGCGAGCTCGCTCGTTTGTGGCGGCGGGAATCGGGGGGGGCGCGCCCTCGGAGGAAGAGGAAGTAGTCGGAGAGACGGGGGCGGGCCCCTTCTTCCCCCACCGTTGGTGGGCTTGCTCGCCCGTGGTGGCGGGGCGGGGGGGGGAGTCCGCCTCAATTACACCCGCGTCAGCCTATGACGCGGGATGAGGTCTCCGGGGGGGGAGCTAGGAGCCATAGGCCCCAGGGCTCCCTCCCGAAGACCTCTCGGGGTTCTGGGGCGCGAGCGCGCCGCCTCGCCTAGGCGGGGTTGGCGCGGCCGCGCCTCCGAACGGGAAACCCCCCTCGCCCGCGGCCAAATCCCAACTCCCATAAGCGAGCGGAGGGAGCCGCGACTGGGGGGACCGAAGGGGGGGCCACGCGTCCCCGGAGGATGGGCATGGCCCGTCCGTCCGGGGCGCCTGCCCCCCCCTCCATGACAGA